CTCCGTGTGAAGACATTTTTCTTTCTTTTTCTCAATTTTTATATTATTCCTTTTACAATTAATCAAAGAGGTGAATAATTTATTTATTTATACCCAAAAGCATAGAAAGGATAAAAAATTGGGATTTGGGCTTTTCAACAAGGGATTGTAATTAAAGCGCATGCGAAAAGACTTTGTACATACATGAAAATTCAAAACTTTACTCGTTGACATTCGATAATTTACATGTGTCGAGATGATATTTATCGTAGAAACAGTGGAAACAATAATTATTTCTGCATCTAAGCACACGTTATAAACGCCGCATTTTTACAACCATATCGTTGTTTAACCGTCTCCATAGAAAAACATACTTCATTACTTTCATAAAGCATTCTCTCTCATCGCAAAGTTTAGAAACGAACCGCGCGTAACATAACATGTTACCGAATATTGGCGCGGATAATTGATGATGAACAATCGAATGTATTTTTATGCTGTCTTCTCGGGAAGTTATTTCTTTCTCTTGCTCGATCAGATAAGATCAATTTTGTATTTTTTAATAAAGTTTTTAACTTGACGATAAAAATATATGTAGCAGGATTGCCAGTGGCCAGTGGAATACATTTAGAAGGAATTATTTTGATGCTACGCGTTCTTCCAAGATGAAGAGCATCTCCCAAGATGAAGAACATCTTGGAAGAGTTCGTCGTATAATTGGGGATTTGTTTGTCCTCCTCACGAATCAATCAGCAGAAGAAATTTATTGTCTTGTACGTACGGCTTCATCACATCCATTAAAAATTTTGTGTACAACGCTGTTGTAAGTTTTCCAGATTTTGAAGAAGTGATGACGACATTCTTGTATTTTGCTGCGTATTCATTCATCGTTTTTTGAATCTTCGGTCCAAAAGAGCCAGCATTCTCTTGTAAGCATAGGTAAACTTTTGGCAATAGCTTTTCGGAAAGGCTCATAGCATATTGCGCTGTATATAAGTGGATTATTTTGTTCATATCCTTTCTTTTTACTAAAACCGTTTTAACCCTTAAATGTTCCAGGATTAGGTTATACGTCGACTGGTGCTGGCAACCTGGAAAGAGAATATAATGTACGTATGTAAATTTATTATACGCGCCGTTAAACGGAGTACTTCATTTGAGGTACACAAATAAGAATTCTTTACTTACCTGTTTGATGAGTGATGATAACAAAATCCTTGTCGTATAGAGCTCGAGTTTGAAGTCGGAACTTATCTGCCGCAGCAAGGATCTCCTCTTGTGTAGCTGTCTCTTTTTCCGACACAAATCTTATAATTTTCCTCTGACGAATCTTATGCCTTTATTTAAAGTCCATGACCCACGATTCGGAGGCTTTGAATTCCAACTCTGGAAACTGACTGGCAGCAGCGAGTGCTCAAGGTTGCATGTTCCTTGTGGTGATTTGCTGGTTACAACATCGCGCTTCTACGAAGCGAACATATGTCCACGAATCAATTGTATTGTATTTATCCTTTCGAGTTTCACCGTTTTTAATATGTTCCCAATTTTCAAATCTCGCATATGCTTCAAGTGAGATACTCCTTTCGTTTGCAAACTTTTTAAACTCCACTTTGGATGCGCTTTGGCAAGATTAACCACCATTATTTTGTAGTCGAGTGGAATGTAATCTGGATCCTCTTTCATTTTTTCATCGGGTTCATACTCATCACTTGACGACCATCTGGCACCCTCCAACATTTGATAATCTTCTTCTCGGTCGATTTCTTCGTGCCAGATCAACTCTTCGCCGCATATAAACTGATACTCCAATAAAACTTCCACTACTTTCTCGTGTATTTTATTTCCCATTTGAATGTGTTCTTCGGAACTTTCTGATGAAATTAGATTTTCTTCGGTCAAAAGATGTAAACTATAATACATCACCGTCTTCAGTTGTTGCTTCGACGCTTTGCTGTGGATGCTATCGTCTGGCTCCTATTCTTTTTCCGTCGACGTATCAATAGTTTCACTTTTGTCCGAAATTTTTGATTTCTCCAGAATACTTTCCTTACAATTTTATTTCACAAAAATTTCGATATCTTCCAGAATATTCTCACAATATTCTCGCCCAATTCAAGTTATTTGGCCAAGAGCTAACAAACGAATGAGCTTCCTAAACGTCGTCCCTAACGGTCAGGGACACCTTTTTTCTACGTGCGCCAAGAATCTATTGTTCGTGTACAGTCGCCAGAAGCAACCTTCAGGTGAAAACGAATCTGATTGTGAAACGACTATTTATGTTTATGGCACATTCCCTAAGAAGGGTGAAATAGCCAATAAAGGAGACAGAAGAATTCCCGTTTGAACACGTCGGGAATGTTTACAACTTAGCCATATGGAGTTCCTACTTCGGGTACTTTCATTTCTAGCAAAGCCCTGCATGTTCTATAAATTTGAGCGAAATCGGTGAGGAAGAGTATGGAATGCTACCTTGTTAGATACTCAGTTGATAAAAGATATGAACAAATGTGCATTTTTTTCCCTTACAATTAGACGAATCGAAAGATACAACCCAATTTGCAATAAGTATCAAGATGATTTCTGACGAAAGAAGAGTTTCCAAAACTCCTACCTCTTAAACAGCGCACACGAGGAAAGGATTTATTTTGTACAATAAAAGCGTTTTAGATATCCGCTAAAATACCGACTGGCAAATTACCTTCTATAAAAACTGACGGTGCGCAAAACCATGACAGGAAAGAATATTTGATTCATTGCTTTATGACAACAAGATCCTTTTTTCCACAAAAATTTATAACATATCACTGCATTATTCACCAGCAATCATTGTGTGCAAAAATCATTGAATTTTAAGATGTTGTTCCCTTCATCTTAACAATATGGAAAACTTAGAAATATTAAGCTTACAAAATTATGTTATTTTAAAATCTAATGAAACTGGATAAGACATTTTGAAGTTTGGTAAGCAGAAATCCGTACCGTATTTTGAAGTCATGTTAGGTAAAGATTAATATTTTGCTCAAGTACCTATAATTTTGAAACATTATCTTTGAATATGATTTATTTGAAGTATCGTTCAAAACTTACTGATTCGCACTTAGATGATTACGTAAGAGCATGCAACTCAAATTATATTGTTGGTTATAATAAGTTAGCGGATGAATTACAAACACAAATTTCCCATTGATATATCAAAAAAATTTATTTAATGAGCATAAATTATAAGTAACTGTTATTTAGTTCAATAAAGTTATATCTTTTAAACAAAACTGGTTTGTAATATGACGATTGATGTTTGATTATGAAACTTGAGTGGGTGGCTCTCGCTGAGAATTTTAAATTTTATTTTGTACCTTCGATGCCCTCGACAAAAGTTGCTGACCCGTGCTCTAGAGCATGAAGACCTCCAAGCTCATGAGTCCTCGTGACTTCGGGATCGTGACCCCCCGTCTTACCAAGAATGTGAAGGACTAAGGTACCTTGGGATTTCCCTACTCGTACTCACAGAGTGAGCCCTCCGCAGAAAAAGTTCTAGTAAAGGAAATCTCATGTTTTGAACTTAATCAATAAAGCGTTTCAAGTAATATTAAAACCTTTTTCAGACTAAAAATTCTTAAGCATTCAAAACTAAAATAAGAACCTTATTTAATTGTCATCCGCGTCGATTTCTTAAGCTAGATTTTGCCGTGGAAATGCCTATTTTTGAAGTATAATCTGCTTAATGCGTACTTGTAGTATAATCTGCTTCTTTGGAGATTATAACTCTTCTGTTTAACCATTCTTACAGTTCTGCCTACCTAACATTGTTTTACGCAGAAGTATCCCTGTTTTGTGAGTTATCGTTCTGAACCAATTTCAGACTCAGATTATGACTAAATAACACTTTATTTACCCAGTTCTAGTGAATTAAAACTAAACTAAAAATAATATAACACGAAATACCGTCTATAAGTTAGCCACAATGACATAACAAAATTAGAAGCTACGTGCCTCGTTGAGAATTACAATATTCAAAAACAAGCCGGAACAACATGGCCTCCGATAAATAAACTAGCACTAAATTTTACCCAAGGGCATTACTCTACACGCGGCGTTCAATCGAACAGCTCAGTTACTGTTAACCCGTCTAACTTTTAAGCTCTCGCTTGCATTTAATTTGCATAAACGTCTAGTCTGAGTGAATGTATATGAAGAAGATGATAGGATAGTGTCTGTCTTAAGCTTAGTAAAGTTTAAATATAATTGTCACAAGATAAATTTGTTTTGAAATTTTGATTTTTGAAAAAAAAAAAAAAAAAGGTTTCCGATTTCTTTTACTTAACTTTCAAATACCGTACATTAAGGAGACTGCTGTTCATTTTTGCATAGTAAAAATATTTTAATCTTATGTAACTATGATTCTTGACTATGCTTTGCTTATAACATAGCGTAGTAAGCGGATTTCTGAAGATGTTATTAGTATTGTGATTGAGGTTATTTTTTCCTTTCCTTCGGGTTGGGAGGTGTTTTTATCTTTTGTGCTATTAAACGTAATAACACGAACCATATTTTTTAACTTGAATTAGGGTAATTTTTAGAATTCCTGACATGAAATTTCATTATTAACTTTTAAATTACAAATAAATTTAATTAAAAAAATATGTTATAAATTTAATTTGAAAGTAATATATAAATTTTGCGTATTATTTTAATTTACATTTATTCATATTTTTAAGTTACAAATAATTATAATTATTTATGTATATTTATAATGATTTACTTATTATAATAATATATATATATATATATATATATATATATATATATTTGTTTAAAATTATTCATTACAATAGTAACTATTTCTATTTATTTATAAATATTTAAATAAATTTATAACCTTTAATAATGAATTATTCAATTTATATATGAATAGAATTTTAAAATATTTTTTGTAAACTAAGTTCGAGTATTTTTTGGAATTAATGAACTAAAATTTGATGTTTAAGTTTATCGACAGATTACTGAAAGTTTAAGTGTTTCAGGTAGGGCAAGCTCCTGTCTTAGCAGACAAGAATACGCAAACAGATGCCGTGCACTTTACAGAGGAAGATCTGGAGACATTGCTAGAGGATGATGCGGAAGAGCCAGAGATCACAGATGTGGAAACTCAAACGAATCCCACTTCACATCATGGAGGAGGGGATAATGTTAAAGTGAGATATTTCTCTACTCTCCTCATTCCTTTTTAAATAAAGATAAATTATCCTAACTCCTCCTATCCGTAATTAGAAATATCCGATTCTCTGATTTTTCTCTCTAGGTCAAGTAAAATTAAGTTGGTTATACATTTATTTACGTGTTTTTAATTATTTTAAACATCATGTTTGCTCATAAACAAGACTCCCTTTTTTTGCTATATTTTTGTTCTAAATTTTTGTAGGTTCTTATAATCCGGTATTTTCATAAATTAAATATGAGAATGAGAGGAAGGAGTTTACTTATTATACTGCAGATAATAATTATGTCGTTTAAATTGCAAATAAACCACACATGTAATTACCGTGTATAATAACTATCTGAAAACCTCTAATCATAATAGCCATCTCTAGTTTTGCTGTTTCAGTTTAAAGCTACTTCCATTGTGCTGGTAACTGGTCAGCCTGAAAATAAATAAGTAATAATGCATCATTGGTTTTCCCTATTATTTTTCCATAGTAAAATATTGTACTTCGCATGGTAGACTGCATTTCATTCTAATCAAAAATAAATGAATTTGAATAAGATTCATGGTCTAGTCAAATATTCACCTATTAATATTTCTTAAACTTTATTTTAAAATGTAACAAGAGTCTTATATTCGAGGAGTCTTGTTTTCGACATATTAAGTGATAATATAGTACATATTTCAGAATTAGTTCAAACCTGAATCTGTTGTGTGCAGCTTGCACACAACGTATTCGATTGATTTAAAAATATTACACTAAAAATACATTCATTGTTTAAGTTTTTCTGTAAATAAGATTATGTGTTTAGTTTCTAAAGCCTGAGTAAATAAATATTAATTCCATTATTTTTGTCATTTTAAATTCCCGTAATAATAAAACTGGTTATCTGTTTAGGCGAACAAAAATATTTTATTTAAAATTTTTATCAATTTTTTTAAATTTTGTTTCACGAAAATAACTTTTTAAGTATTGTAGCTGTATCTTTGCTAAAGTAATATGTAAAAATGAAAAGTAAAGTTTTTCTGCTTGCAATTAAAAGAAATTAGTCAATTGTAATTTCCGTGTTCAAATATACATCATGTTTTGCGTTCCGTGTGCTTATGTACACCGAGTTCACAGAGTTCTGTGTTCATATATGCATCGCAATCGCAACTTATAGCCCGGCCTTTATTTTTGGAACAGTTGGTCACAGACATGTACTTCCAGTTACACAAATGTTTTAAATGATGAAATAATTAATGCTTTGGAATTCTTAAATTTTAAACATAAATTTTGTAAAAATTAAGAAATCTGACATTTAATACGTTCTCCCCCCAGTACCTATGCTTATATTAAAGAAATTTTGATGCTCGTTATAAAATATAAAATGCTAAAAGTGTGACTTCCATATAAAAGAAAAATTAACAAAGATATTTAAAGTTTGTGGTTTTTAAGTACTTAGTCACAGAAAATCGAATTTATCCCCCTTCTTGAGTGGTGACTTAAAAAAAAAAAACAAGTTACAATAAACCGAGGCTCTTTTTATCTCTGTTTAAAGACATTTCATAATATTTCTTAAAGATTTACTAATAATAATTTGTAACAATTTTTCATTTACAATTTTTTACAATCAATAACTGCTTGATGGTTGATTATGCAACGAAATGATTAAACCATTTATCGAGGCACTTTAACTGGTCAGACAAGGTTTCGCAAAATGTGCTACCTTACAAAGTGTAATTTGTTAAATTTGGGGCACTTTTTTAAAATTGTACAGTGAATTCTATTTTTGGTTTGCTGTGTATTTTTAGGACTGGAAGTTTTATGGTTCATATTGTAGTACAGTTAGATTTAGCATTTTATTAAAGGCAATGCATTTTTTCTTTAAAAAAGGGCAAATAGTTTTAATCATTTTCGTCCAATAGACTTTTATCTGTTAGACTAAATTTTATTGAGACAGTCCTTAAATTTTCTTTGTTAGTTCTTCACTTTATATTTTCATTTATTTAATTTTTATAATATGTCGATATTATTCTGAGCTTTCTCTTCAACGAATCTAGTCATCGATTGTAAACCTATTTATGTACTTTTATTCTGAATTTTAGAGTGTTCTTATGCAAACGGACAACGAGAAAAGCGGAAGCGTGAAATTTTATCAAAAGAGACAGTTAATTGAAGCCCAAGAGATCAATATAATTACTATCGACATTGGAGTACAAGCTGTGAAACCTCTCAGTGATCACTGCACGCAGGTAAACTTCTCGGTACGAAATTATTAGCACTTCGAACATGGCAATAATATGTGTAACAATATATAAAATAACAAAAACTTTGAATTTGGTAATGACATAGTAATGTTATAATGTAACATAATTACAGAAGGAAGTGTCATTTTCCTTCTGAAAAGAGAATATAATGTTTCCCTCTTGAAAACTAATGGATTCTTCTGTAGTAACATTATATAAGCAGATTTAATATCAATGCATGCATTCGGTCTATTTTATTTGCACCTTTTAAGTATCTTCTCTGTGAATTGAATCTTTAAATTACAGGGTGAGTAAGAAATATGGCTACTTTACTATTTATATTGTGTTGTGTATCGCATCGTGTGTCATCACCGTATTATGGCTACGGGAAGTTAAGCAGAGACATTAGGAAGTCAGATTAAGAAAGCAATACAGAACAGTATCAACCAGACTCAATTTGGAATTCGTAGGACTTGGTACTTCAATGGAATTTGCAGGAATATGCTGCATATTTCTACTGAGACCTGTGTCTCGACGAATGGCTAATAATAGGCTGTATAATAGTGTCTGCTTTTGGTGCAAAATTAATCGAAAGTCTATATCTGCTCCTGTTCAACGAAAAAAACGTTTGTGTGGAGCTGGATAGAAAATGTCTGGCGAAAGATGATTTTGTTCTAATGACTCACATTCCGAATCCTAATATGGAAATCAGTGCGCAGAACTGAGTAACATTAAGTATTCAACAGCTGTACAAGTGTTTTCATTTTCTAGCCGTGGATACAGCTTCTAGCAAGATCTAACAGGGCTCCTTTTATGGCTTTCTAACAGCGATTCGCTAAAATGAAATCCAAATTTTGAATTGGATGCCGGTTGACTCGATCTCAATCCTATCGAGGATCTATGACGTCCTCAAAAAAAGAGCTGCGAGAATGCTAGGTCACAAAGAAAAGATCTGCAGGGCGTTTACCCAAAACACTTGGGCCAATATAATAGAGCAAGGTTTTAAGCGTCTACATTGCCTAAGAGACTTGCTGCAAAAATTTGCAGCGCGTAAATTTATTCCATCATAGTTTGAGAGAAGTATTGTTTATAGGCAGGTATCTATATTTTTGTAAAAATGCATTGTTTCGTGTGTGTTTGTCTATGGCTGTATGTCAGCCGTAGCTTAAGGGATATTTTGTTAATTAAATAACTTTCCTTTTAAACTCTAACAAGCCTTATTTTCCATCCCTAACGATTACTACGCATGAAATATGAATAAATTTACTGTCACAGGAAAGGTATTTTTTTTTCATTATCGCTTTAGACACTTATAAATGGATTTTAATATTTTCTTCTTGACATTTTAGAAATTTGTGAAAATTGGAAACCAACAGACACTTTTCTCCATTGATGTTATTTGAAAAACGTTTCAGCTGGAGTTGAAATTAACTAAGCAGGAAATAAATTTTTCTATGCCAAAAATTACAAATTGTAATAGATATGCAAAACATTGCACAAAATTTTGTTCCATGTTAAAATATTAACATTCATATTATCATAATAATCAATAAAAGCGATTAAATTAAAATTTTCTAATTTAATTTTTTATGCTAAATTATTTTGTCAATCTTAACCTAACTAAGCTTTTAAACACAACGAGTATGAGTTTTATCATTTGAAATTATCGCAACAACTCTAGCAAAGTAGAAGAATGAATTAAATAAAATCTTTACCAAAGTAAATTCAACGGCAGCCATGCCACTTACGAACCATAATCCACCCTCGAAAGTTCTCATTTATCTTCATCCTTTAATATTTATAGAAACAAAGCTAGTAGGAAACATAGTTTGAGCGTGCACGTTATAGTAACATCAAGGTTAGTAATAGCCACCTAAGATTCTAAGTAAACAATCTTAAATAATTAATGATAAAAATAAATACTCTCATGCAATTAATACGTTCTGTCACAAAATAAATATACGCACCCAGAAGGAAACGAACTACTATCACAAAACTTAATATGCATGTTGTGTATGAGGAGATAAACAAATGATTACAAATTCAGAACAAAAGATCGTTTCATCAAGAAGTTACGGCATGAAAAGGTTAGAAATCAGTAAAACGTGTAGCCACCTCTGAAAGCTATACAAGCCGAAACACGGCGTTTCACCGAATCAAGTAGTTCACCTATGACCCCCCTGCGGAAGGCCATGCCATAAACTTCGCAATTGGGCAATTAATTCACCAATATTCCTGGACGGTTGCAGTTGCCTTCCAAACATGTCCCGAACGTGCTCTATGGGCGAGAGATATGGGGACCTAGCAGACCATAGGAGTACATCATAATCCTTGATGAAAATCTTGGGAGAGTTGTGAAGTATGTGGATCAGCGTTGTCGTGCTGATAAATGACATCTGGAAGACTTGATAGCATAGGCAGTACAATCGGCGTTAAATATCGTCCACGTTATTGCGAGCCGTCATAGCACCTTGAAGGACGATTAGAAGTGATCGTGTCTCCCAACAAATCCGCTCCCCACACTATCACATCTTATATAATCGCCGTATGCAGCTCGAAAACAAATGCCGGATAGGACCGCTGGCCTGGTGGCCTCCAAACGAGTATGCGTTGATTATCAGCATTGGGACTGTATCGGGACTTATCGCTGAATATCACATGCCTCCTCTCGGTCACACTCCAGCTTGCCCGGAGTTATGCAAAAGTCCAGTCGACACTGCTTATGATGTGGGGTCAGTGGTAAACGTCTTAATGGACTCGGCAGCATATACCAGCGTCGGCCAGTCGTCTCCGAATGGTTTCCCTTGATACCACTGGAAACCTGGGAGGTGATAAATGGCGTCGAATCGATGCTACGACGTTGTTGGTGCGGAAGTGGCCGCTTTTATGATTCCTCGATCCGCGCTCATTTGTATTACTAGGACGACTGACGCTCCGCGACGGTAAACTATCCCTTTCTTCATCCATTGTCGCCAACACCGAGGAACTGTATCGCTCCGACCGAGATGGCGGCCGATACGCCTGTTCGACCAACCTTTCCCCCCCCGGGGGTTGACTCAGAGAATTCTGGGAAGAGCTGCTAGGATCTGTACCTAGGCAGTCTCAACCACGGGGGGTATACAAACAGTCTTCACAGGACTAGAACCCGAGTATTGTACTTAGGTTGGTTCAGGCTTGGCAGGGACCGTACTGGTACTGTCGTGTCTGTTCCTCTTGTGGAGTCTTGTTCCTGTCTGTTCCTGTTGTGGAGCGAAATAGTAGATTTCATCGACCTTCTCGATGGGGGTTCAGCCCTCATAGTTCCAGTGACGGGGACTGACGGAGTAAGGTAAGGCACCGAAACAAATTTATTCGATTCCGAGGGAGTGGTGCCCCGAGGCAAAGATGACAGAGCGTCGCTTTTTTGTATTAAGTTTCAACGTTTTTTCCCTTGCTGAGACTACGTATGTATAAAGCCGGGCACGGACTGTGGGGTCTGCGCCGCCACTGAGGGGTCCCTACAAAGCCCGGATACCAAATTTCGAAAGGAAAATCCAGGACGAGGGTCCTGGCTTTGGCGACCTGTTCGACCAACCTGTTTCTCTGAGCGTACAATAGGCTTCTTCTCCAAGCCCGACAACTGTTCGTACTGCCGCCTGTTACTTCTCGTAAGTACTCCTAGTACGACTACTCGTGCCCTACGGCACAAGTAGTCGTACTTTTAAAATCTCCCAACTACGCATCTCATATACGCATAGCGCGCTTGCCCTTGTCTCATTGGCGTCGAAATTTAAATCATTTGCATATCTCTTACCAGACTACATTCCTGCCGAGTTTCGTGATTGTGGCTCGATTTCTTCTGAGTGCATATATTTTTTATAACAGAGTATATATTGAACATACAGTATTTTATACTTGCCAAGTCTTAATATAATTAAACTGACACAGACTAACTACTAAACCTTATTTAAATTTATAATGGTATATACTGCTAATGGAAACTACCTAGGAAAATACAAGGTAGACTAATAGCCAAAATTATTCAAATCTGTAATCGTATATGCTGCTAATAGATTATGTCCATGAAAAGTAAGATAGGCATACGAACTACTTGAGCTTTTAATCTAACATATTGCTAACATTACATACTATTTAATTCTTGAAGGTATACATATGAGCTTGCTGCAAATAACATTTTTGTTACATTTTCGAGATATTAATGTTATTATTATATTGATACTATAATTCATAGTTATTACTATTATTAGTATATTGATACTATTAACTCATGATTATTACTATTATTACTATATTACAGCTGAAGTAAAAGAAACATATTATAATCAGTTTATAACTTAATCTAGTTTGCCATCTTCGACAAAAACTTTAATTCTTTGTATCTAATATATTTAATTACCGAGTTTTCTAAATATTCCACAGACCTACCGCATCTCTCTAATGGAATTTGAAAGCGCTGGTTGGAGGCTTGACTATACATCAAAGTCTGGGAAAAAATTAGGTATTATGGCCAATAAGAGACTGTCCAAAATGGCCGACTTTGAATCTCAGACAGATCCTGTAACAAGAGCTCTAGCAGCCAATGCTGCTGGTATCGAATCAAACGTATTTTCCTCTATGGACAGCATATCACCTATTGCTCATATTCATAAAGAGCTCAGCAGCACGGGCCTCAAGACATCTCAAGTAAGTCGTTTTGACAACTACTGTTTATTACATGTTCTTGAGCAGTTATTATGAATACTAATTTATGCAATTTAAAATGATTCAAAAATATGCAATTTAGCTAATGAGAAAACGGATCTACGGCCACATACTATTACTACAGCTTATTAACTGTAACTAATATTAGAGCAGGGATCGCCCAGACGGGAAAGGGGTAAGTGACTCTGACTGCCGTAACGAAGGGTCCCGGTTCGAATCCTGAAGAAGGTATGAATGTAAATTTTCTGTGCCTTCCTTAGAAGGCAACGTATTAGGTGCCTCCATATTAAAGTGATCACTGCTTTCGGCCTTGGTAGTGACCACGCCTATAATGGCTAGTGCCCATCATTGGGAAAAAATATTAGGGCAGGAACAACTTTAGTAATTTCCGAGATTATTTTCATAAATTTTAGGAGATTTTTCTGATAACAGATTTTTCGTCGAATTTCAGAATCTGATATCGAAATAAGAGTCAAAATTAAAAATGTGTAGCAAAAACTGTTATTTTTAATTTTGACTGTTATTTTGGTATCAGATTGGTTCTCAGATTATGTTTACATTTAAATACCTTTTCAATTATTTACTTAACAGTTTCCGCAAAAATACACGGAAAAGTAATCCTATTCAAAGATTCAAACTAGAAATTTTAATTAGCTTAAGTTTCGATGTATTTCTGGAATAAGAGAAAAATTCGCCCGTAGCAGCCAATCAATGCCGGGAGATAATTTCCATGACTTTTAAAAATATAAATTAATGAAGAAAATCCGTGCACATATGACGTAATGTATAAAGGTACCAGAAATTAATCTCCTTTCCCCACAATGTTAATAAAGAATCTTAACAGCGAAAGTTTTCACGAAATAGTCTAAATTCCAGGCCAGGACAATTTCTCGAATCTTCACTCTTATTCGCGTTCGCCTTGAGAATACTTTTTGGCTCCGCATTACAATGACTGCCCTACTAATAATTATAGGATTTAATTTGCGATAAAATGAATTGTATCGCCTTTACCATACTAAGCGCTGTCGTCTGCCAATTTAATTAGTTGATAGTTGGAAGCAGATATATGTACTACTGGCCCTTACCGGGAAATTTAGGTGTGTTGCCCTTCGATTGCCACTTTTAGTGAGTTTTTTCAAGGAGCAATACTCTTTATTATTAGTGTAAGTAAATTTTTAAGTCTAAATAATTTATAATATTATGAGGTACTTACATTTTTGACAACGCAATGTTTCTGAGGTTATGTTAGATTAAGTTACTATCATTCTAAGGGAGAATGGAATAAACTTTTAGGGAAACTGGCTCTTTTCAACGTTAAATATGGGGAAAACAATGAAACCATGCAGCAAGCCCGCTCGCCAGAATTTGAACTCGGTTGGAACTGATAGTTTTCAGAACTCTTATCACTCAGCCATTATACTAAAGGAAAACAAGAAGCAACTATATTCTTTATTCATTGGAAACTAATATAGGGACAGGTAATCTAATATTGACTAATGGTGGGTTAGATAAGAGAGTTCCTTATAAATTATTAATGCACTAATGAAACAATATCACCTTAAAGGATTCAAAAACGAATTTTAACTCTGCTATCAGTATTCCTTAATTGCTGAAGCTGAAGCCAGTCAAACATTTATAAAAATTGAAATGTTTAACCCTTTGTAGCTGCACCTTGCGTTGCAATATTCTCTGGTTTCCATCTATATTCTGTCATAGTCGTCGTGAAACACATTCAAGTCGTGTCGGAGCCGAAACCTCCCAGAATATTTGCTTGCATAATTTAGAAGAATGTATTCGTTTTAGATGGAGGATTTAATAGTAATTATAGCTTATTATTTATAAAAAGCAATTTAAATTATGTACTTTGGGAAATTATAGCTGCCTCTCAACTCTTCTGCTGGTCACTTTACACTAAACATACCATTGACTAAAGCGCAGACTCAAAGTAACAGGACGGTTTCTCCAAGCGTAAAGCAAATACGAAGCAGTTTCCCTTAGTTTTCCATCTTTCTTAGGTTTGACTTAATCAGTTAACCATCCAACCTTTCCAAAAAGAAAATTTTCTATAATTATCGTTTCAAATAGATATCTTAAATGTTTATCTTTTGAATTATGCTCTTTATAAGTAAGGAGGAACTAGTTAGATCATCTTGAGATATTTTGCATGTCATATTTATTTGTATATACTGCAAGATATAAATATTAATAAATTATCCATCAGGGAAGGTTTTTTTCTCTTCAAAAGAACATTTGTCTGTTTCTCAATACATAAAAATTTATGCTTAGTCTCACGAATCTTCCGTCATTCTTAGTAGAACCCGAAATCTGTTATAGAGAACACTAGTAAGACTCCGATAATAAGTGACCTCATGAAACACTCTACGGTATGAAAATTTTGCCTGAAATCACTTTACCGACCCTAGTTACTAACCTTTGGGTTGCATTTTTCTTTTGCTTTATTTAGATTACGGCAAAGCACACTAGGGCTATCTGCCTAAGGGGAGTCATGAATTCGCGGAGGAATTTCTAAGGGAAACTGACTCGTATACATGCTACACATGGGGAAAACCACGAAAACGCTTATGCAGCCAGCCCATTCACGGGATTCAAACCTTGAACCAAACTACCAGTGTTCAGCAATTTTACCCCTCGGCCGCTGGTGGGCACTAACCTTTGGGATAAGTAAAATAAAATTCTGGCTCAAATCATTTTCCATACCTTTGATAATTTCGTCGGTATACTGGCTTACAGCAGGAGATATTTTCCCCTGCTCTTACCAGTACTTTAGAGATTCCCGTTTAGAGCCTGACCTTTGTGAAATCCGCAGTTAAATATATCCTCTAGATGAGGTGAATTTGTTGGGAAAGAAGTTTTGGGCACTTTGTTTCTTGAAAGCAGACCGGAGGCTTGGTAGCTAGTCAGGTGAGTTCCTCTCACGAATCCTGAGATATGGGTTCATTTGCAAACTATATACAACGACGACTCAAAATGTACAAAAAATTACGTTCCATATAAAGACGAGAAAGAGTCTTTCAGTCGTAAATTTGAAGAAACACAATTTTCTGCAGAAAATTGTCAGCAGAGAAGTATTGTGTTGTCATTGGTTATCGTGGTCACATGGATTTGAGTGAAGTAAATGAGCAGTATAAGGTCTAATAAGAATATCCTCCTCCATAATCTCATAGGTCAGGATGTCAGCGAAGTTTGCGGGATTGTTCGTTATTGATTCTAATGAAGAAATTTTCATTCATCCTGGTGATGAATTTTTTAATGGATACCATCTTCAGATCTGAATGCAGGCTTCTATTGCGAATGAAATAAGGAGCATTTGTAATGATCCTTAGGGCTTTGTTTTGGAGAACTTGAAGTTTTTTAATGCCCTTATCGCCGGCGTTGACCCAGGCTGGGGGAGCATGTGTAACAAATAGGCCGAGAGGTATAATCTTCTCTTCAGATTTAATGTGAGTCTATCACTTTTGAGCATCGGGGAAAAGCCTGATCATCATACTAGTATAAGCCTTTCCACACGCGTTAATCGTGTGGGTTGGAAGAGGTGAAGTCCTTATTTAGGGTAACTCCCAAATAATTAGCAGCATTGACTCTAGGAACCTGAGTTCCGAAGAACGTTAGTTCTTTCTTAACAGCGTCTCTTTTGAGGAATTTTCTGATTAAGAGAATTTTTGACTTATCGAGTTGGATGCTAATTTTCCACTTGCTACACCAGCGCTCGATGATAGGGACTTTTTCCTGAATTTTTGACCAGTGCATGATTTGGATTCATGAAATTCGAAATTATCGCGGTAACATCCGCGTAGCAGGCAATTAGTGAGTTTATATCCTCATTAAAAATTAGGGAAATCATTCACATAGAGGATATAAAATATTGTTCCCCAGATTGACCCTCGGGGAATTCCTGCTAAGATATTTTTCACACTGGAAAGTGCTTTCCTGTTTCTAACCGTGAAGCTACAATTTTCTAAAAAAAGATTTGATCATCAGTATCAGATGTCTACGTACGTCTAATTCGATTAGCTTGTATACAAGACCCGGATGCCAGACCACGTCTAGCATAAGGACAGCGACACTGATTCTATTATATATAGCACAGCCGATGAATTCAGTAAGACGAACAAGCTGAGAGCTCGTAGAAAGTTCTTTACGAAAGCTATGCTGATGGTCAGCGAGGCATTGAAAATCACTTTTTGTTCTTTTGTAAATTAATCTTTTCGGAATCTTGCTTAACGATAACAGGCTAATGGGCTTGTAGTTTGCAGGGTTGTCATGCGATTTCCTGGGTTTTTGAATCATGAAACTTTACGCATGCTTCCAGGCATAAGGAAAATAATGACTGTGTCAGCACGCATTGAGAATACTCGTTAACTAAGAGATGATCTTGAAAGGAATCTCCAGTATAAGGTCATTAATTTCATCACACCCCAGTGAAGATACCTAATAATGCTATTCACCTCGTGCGGGGAAGCGACGTTTGTAATATTCAACATACTGGGCGAATTAAGTCAATTTCAAATAAATTCCTTGACCTCTTGGTCCGAACCACAATCTCATGGGAAGGTGTTAGGGCTGAAGTGATGAGAGAGATATTCAGCAAAATTTTCAGATTTTTCTTCGTCCGTATAGATGAAGGCATTAACACTTCTTATGGGATTGCTGCAGGAACTGGTGCGTTGCAGCGATTTAACGTACCTCCAGATGGATCCACCATCAAGGTTAACTTTCTCAATCTCGTCATTCCATGTACTAGTCGTATGTGATTGAATTAAATGCTTAATACGTCGATTAAGCCTATTGATCTCTGTTTTGAGCGCCGGATCCCATGTATGATTGAAAACCTTCCGCAGCCGATTTCTGGAGGTCATCATTTCTCTGATAATAAGTGGGAGCTGATGTTAAAACTGATTACGGTCCACATTTCTAGAAGCTTGTGTACTGGCATTTTTGAGAAAGTCAGTAAACTTCTCTACAGCGCAATCTATATTCATGTTACTTTTCAGTTCCAAGATTGAATGTGGAACTCGTTAGCGGATTGTGGTAAAGGTCCCACTCCGTAACATGCATTGGAGGTGTATCGTTTGGGATGCACACTCCAAGATAGGCTAATATCGGCACATGATCTGAGGACAAATCATTTATTACCGACAATGCCATTGGCACATTCGATGTTAAGTTAAAGAAGTCCAGGATACCTTGCCTTCTGTTTATCATATTAGGCCGATATGTGGGTTTGTTTGGAACGTGAATATATACTGGATGATTAGTGATAAATTCGAGCACAACCTGACCGTTAATGTTAGTTGTATTGCAACCTCAATCGCTGTGCTTCGCGTTGAGGTCGCCTCCTATTATAATGGGAACGTGCTTATCAAACAAATCTTTCAGATCACTGGCAGTTAAATCTGTTGTCAAGTTTGTTGTAAACAGCGCGTAACGTGACTGGGCCATGTTTAGGCAGTTTAACTACCGTTTTAATGGCCTCATATCCATTGGAATAATTGGAGCTCTTAAAACAAAAGTTCTTTTCACATAAATTATTGCTCCACCATCGCGGTGAGGAAGCCTATCGCAGCAATAGATGGAGTAGTTGACAAGCTTAATACGATGTTTAGGAGTAGCATGGGTTTCTGACACAAAGGAAATGTCTACATCATGCTTTTCCATACCCCATTAACCTTTGGAACATACATAGAATCAAGATAGTAAGATTTTGTCTCAACTCTAGCCCCATTACCATAAACGAATACCAATTGGATGTGTGAAAGTAGGATTCGTGTATGTTCATGTATGCTTTAGATTAAAATGACTAATAGCGTACCGTGTCCTGTTCAATGTTCAACCCTTGTTTTTAGTCCCCAATGATCTGCCTTGAATAACTTTTTGGTGTGTTAATATTGGTGTTAACTCATCAAGCGCTCTGTGTCAAAACTAAAAAAAAACTAAAATATTTTGACTAAATATTGAAATATGAATAAAATATGAAAATATTTTAGTTTTGATATCAAAACTAAAATATTTTGACTGCTTATTGATTTCTCTCCGATTGTTTTTGATTACTTTCATTTTCGAAAATATTGCTTGTAAAAGTAGACATTGATCAGATCAGTGCTACCAGGCCACATTCATTTTTTTTTCTCTTCTCCTTTCTGAATCATACTGACCATAATGCTGATGTTGCTGCTAACGCTGGAAATAATAACTAAAGTAGGCAATTCATACTTGAAACTCATTCATTCAAAATATGTTAAAACTAACATCAGAACATTTCGCAGAATACAGATCATAAAAAATATATCATCATCATCATCATCCTAATAATAATAATAATAATAAAGCTTAAAACAGCTTATTGATTTCATTATTAGAATAGTAAAATTCACAATTTTTAAATATTAAAAAACGACATATTACCTGTTTTCCAAAATAAAACTATTAGGTTTCCATATTAAATTGCTTTACGAATCTTTGTCATTCTCAGCTTCAAAGCAAAGAAAAATTAAACTAAATATTTTGATATTTTCCAGTGTTTACAAGTATTGAGTTACCAATTTTGTGTGCTAACGATTCGCAAAAACTTTGCGAATAAAGCTAGAATAGGAAAATATTGAACTAAAAATTTTGAACCTTTTTTACTGTTCCAAAGAGTAACAGTTTTAAAAGCTGAATCATTCGGATACTTTAATCATTCGGATCATTCAGATACTTTAATCCACTTACATCCCAAATATGAACAGTAAAGAGAATATCAAAAAAAATATTAGCAGCACTTTAACACTGCAAAAGTAAACATTGATCAGCTGAGTGCATCCACGGCACACAATTTTTTTCTCTTCGTCTTTTCTGTGTAAGTTATTTAATAACCTATGTTTCTCTCTCTACTATGGCGGGCAATAAATATTTTTCCAAAAATGACGTACATCAGTTATAAATAGTTCCCAAGTGAACTTTAGGCTTTGTTTAGAAACTGCCAGCGTAAAACCAATTCCTGATTTTTTTCCCTCTTATAGCGCCATACAATTTTCTTTAAAAGCATGTGTTCTGCAGCTTGATATTTCCAGCGAGAAAGCATATTTTTGTCACCAACTCATTTCGATAGTAGCAACATTTTTTTAAATAAAAGAAATGTACGTCTTTGGTTAGTTATTTCAATAAAGAATAAAATAGAGTTGATGTTGTTGTCATGTCCATATTACTTAAAATAAAAATTGGCAGGGCCTACTCCAAAGAGAGGTTGGACTTCTTATTTTAAAGTTCCAGTTTCCACTAGAAGTAAAATGAATCTGAATTTATTTCCTTAGAAGTCCCTTATCGAGATTCATTTGCTTTCAGGTGTCAAAGTCGGCTATACATGAAAGTATCGCTCGCCTTTTGGAAGACGTCGAAGATTCAATGCGCAGTGATTCGGAGATCGACGGGAGATTTCTCGGTGGCTACGCTGAACCTTTGGTGGTTAAATGTGACGCAGGAATTCAGACGGATAATGATCCAATCACAGATGAAGCGCCCGAATTTGCAGCTAGACCTCCACCTTGTAAAAAGAAAGAGATGATACCCTGCATGTCCGTCTTCAAAGACATCGATAAGCGAGCAATAGAAGTAAGATCTTGTTAGTTATCTAAATTATTTTTAAAGTCCCTTCGTGCCTTTTTAAATCAGAAATTAAGTAAGACTTTTCAACCCGTTCGCTTATTAAATTAATATGTTTTATGAAGGAACGGGGTATTCCAGGGGTGCACAAGACAGTTTCAAACGGCATAGATGACCTGGAAACATCTTTTATCAATAAAATATTCTTATATCAGATTTATGACTGTAATGATATAGTTTTTCTAAACTTTTGTTTTTGGTGCAAAAGGTAACTGAAGCATACACTAAAGAAATCCAACCTCGTTTTTTCTATATAACTTACTTACGAATATGTGCCGTCAGCTGTTAATATGCGAATAAATATTCTTATAATAAACAATCCATTTTCAAATGAAGTAGGTGTTTGAAACATCTTTTATCGGTAAAATATTCTTGTGTCAGTTTTATGAAAGATATAGTTTCTAAACGCCTTTTCAGAGGAGAAAGTAGCTGAAACATAAGTAACTACTAGTATTAGACAACAGCAAATAAAATCAAGATGCGTAATCACTCCAATATTTCTAGAGCAGTGGTTCTCAAACAGTGGGTCGCGGCTTACCAGTGCTCGAGAGACTATATATGGTGGCTCATGAAACATTTTGAAATACTCTTTTTCTGATTGTTTAATTATACATATTAATGTGTATTTAATAATTTATTTATAATTATCAGTTAACTGCCATCAATTATATATGGATATGATTGTTTTATTATTATGTTATTTTCTTCTATAGATCTCATTTTGTCCTTTTTTCTGAACAGTTTTATGTATGTGAGTTATGATAAACCGCATTTGTATGTAGGTGGTAGGTGGGTAGTGATAAATTGCAGCTACAGTGAGACATCGGTCTCCGAATTAAATTTTGTAGTCATCGTCCAAAATATCGTCAGCCAAAATTAAATTTCACAGTCGTCATCTGAAATGCCTCTAAACAGAAACTATTTTTTTCATAGGAATAAAATGTAAAATGGATTAATTCGTTCCTGGACTATAGATGATCACTTATTTGAATTTTTCAACATTTCGTTGCACTTAGATTTATGAAGTAAAAACAACTGAAACTATTAAATCTAAGACGAAAGAAAGGTAAACAAAATATTAAATAAATAATAAAGGAAATTTTAATTTAAATCTACCGCATTAGTACGAAGAAGAATGAAAGGCATAAACGGAACATAATGAGAAAGAGACTGACGAGGAGTCCCGTTTCATAAGAACATGAAGCAACTGGCTTTCTAAGGCTTCTTCTTTTATCTTTTCTTTTGCTTTCACATTCGCACTTCCTTACCTCCCAGTCCAGTATTAACTCATTACAGCACTCTCTGCTTTGGACATCATTCTACCGAATACCATTGCTCAGCCCACCACCTTCAAGCCATAATGTCAACTCTAACCAATCCTGTTGATACTACCATTCGCAGCATACGCTCGGCTACTGAAGACATCTCCTCAAATTACAATTCCGTCGCAATAGAAAGAAAGTGTGACACTTATAGACAACCATACCCTCAGTATAACAAAACAAGAATATGAAAGAAGAATTCCAGAACTGTATAAGAAATGTATAGATATAACAACAGGGAAACGCGAAGGAAGATATCTTTTTTCACAAACAGAAAAAAAAAATCATGTTAACATCACTAAGTGAAATGAGAGAATTAGCAATTTATGCTTCATATACCCTGTGATCAACTGATCGCACTTCTTACAACACCAGTTACCAGAATTGATTTTGAACTGCAACCAAACATCGTAACGTACAACCTCTTCCCCAAAGAACTAGTTTTTACAACACTAGATTCCCCGTCTTTGACAACAACCTGAGCATCAGCAACGAACAACTTCCCTCCAACAATCACGAAGTACAAATCCACGCCATCATCAACACCATAAACCCACATAATGGTAATGATGAATCCCGCATCCACTTACCAACAGGCGGCTAATGATTGCAGCTAAAGAGAACACAGAATTATATGCTACCATCAACCAACAAATTAATCAACCAAGTCAAAAACCTCCAAAAACTTATGCAGAAGCAACCAGCGAAAATCCCATAATACAAAAGTGAAAACAGCTGGATTATATATTCGAAAGACGCCAGGCGAGTGAACCGAATTGCGAGGTAAACTCAGGAGCTGATCCTCTTCAACAAATCAGAGCGAATATCGAAAGTATCACCCCAGTAAGACGGGTTGGATTAGCAATACAATGTTAAAGATATGGAAGATGTCCAGAGAATAAACAACTCAATCAATAGTAGCCCGGCATCAAAATATATTATCAACATCCGTATCCCACAATTCCGCACACCAAAATGCCATGATGTACTCAAAAGCACCTCACCAGAAGAATTAATCAAGGCTCTAGAATAACAAAAGCAATCTAAAGCAGAAGAAATGAAACCACTTTTCAAGCTAAACGGTCGAAATAAAACTGAAAAATAGGTGGCAGAATGTCCAGGCACATGTTTTAAAAACTGCATTACCAAGAAACAGATTTATCTAAATTGGAGGATAAACAGCGCCACAGAATTTACAGGGATACAAATGTGCTATAAATATCAAGAGTTTGAGCATAAGAGTATCCAACTATGTCAACAAAAACCTTCAATCTCAAAGAATGTCTACCTACAACACTATTTGGCCAAAATTTTCCCCATGCCAGTAAGTCAAATTCTGCCGGGCTTTGTTCATAATAATTAGATATCTGAAGATATTTCTAGAAATCCCTTAGCGTTAAATCCGTTTCCTCAAAACAGATTTAAAATCATTTCTTGTTTACTTAAGTGTTCGTAACTCGAGATATCGTTTGTCATCGAAGACTTTTTTTTTTTTTTTCAGATAATTTGTTCGCGATTAGCTCGTGATCCTAGGTTTCACTGTACATTCATATATGAGTAGCGAAGTTAAAGTTTGAGAAACACTTCTATAGTACAGCGTGTTACATTTATGTAGTAAAAAATAATATTGTTACGTTTTTCTTTTCTGACACCAGTTGTTACGGGGTTCGTATGGATTTGGAGTGAATAACGACGACACTTGATGAAGTATCGAAACACACTTTATTAGCCAGTATTGTCAGGACAGCTCCAAAACACATTTTACAGTCGTCGATGAACTACTATAAACACGCTTACATGATCAGCGACACAGCCTTCAGGTTATCAGGCTATCACGGTGGAGACAGCTTCCTGCAAAGCACCCGACTCTGCTTTCCGGAGTACAGCTCCCGACTCTGCTTGGTTGTTCTCGGAACTCCACGTACTCTCGAGACTCTCCACGCTACAACTTGCGATACACTCGACAACACACGAGCACAGCTCCCGACTCTTCGGTTCAGTCGTTCTCGGAGCTCAACACGCTCTCTCGACGATGCACTAACCGCGATACACTAACAGACTCCTTCGGTGCACTCGACAACCCACTCGGCACTCGCTGCCCGGCTGTCAACTGGATCGACTCCGCAGGGATTGACTCGCTAGACGAGACACCAACTCGATACTGACTAACTCGCACTCTAGACGAGGCACACACACACACTAACTGACTGACTGCGGACCAGCAGGGTTTATATAGCTTTCGGCTTGTGTTCGAGAACATTCTGGGCTAAACCGGTAAGAATTCGTTCGAGAAGGTTCTCCAAACGTCCATGGTATATCGCCAATTTTGTCGCCAAACGTCGCCAAGTGTGCGATATCTCGCCAAATGTGGCAACCCTGCTTTCCCTTGCCATTTTATGGCAACCCTAAAACTGGTTTGCGGGGAAGCCATCGTACCGCGCCTTGACATTTCGTAACAATATTTCTGTTTGAAGCTTTTCTAAAATTTCTTTTAAAGGAAAAGTTGAGATTTTAATGCAATAGTCTACTACTGGTAATTCCTTTATTTCAGTATATAGTTTTCAAAAAACCAACCTTTTCAGTTTCGGTGCGTGTAAAGAATTATAATGAATATATTTTCTTTTAAGCTGCAAAATAAGTATGAGCATTTTTTAAATGAATGCTTACCCGAAATAAAGTGAATTTCTTACAGCAATAATAAATTTATTTTCATTGAAAATTAGGATATGGATAATATTGAATATTTTTCTCCTTTATTGCGCCAAAACTTCGTTCTTTCCAACATTGCCTAATGACCACCTTTAAATTAAATGGCTTGTTTTTAATTCTTATAGCAGACTTCTTGCTTTTAAAGTAAGTGTTGTCAATAAAAATTTTTAGTCATCATTCTATTTTTTGTCATTTTCCTTTTATTGAGACAACTAATGAGACGTATTTCTGATGTTTAGAAAACGTTGTTTTCTTTATGAAAGTATTAGGTTGGCGCATTTATTTTTCTAAAAAAACTGTTTGTCTTGTGTTGCCCTACAACGGAAAAAGGTCTCTGAAATTAATTATAACATTTTTTGTCGTTTAAGAGGTGATGACTCTACTGTGAGCTCAAAATATTTCGTTACCTTTAATTATAGCACAATTATTTGCAGTTTGAGAAGAATCAATGAAGAAATTCTATTGCCTTTCAGGTGCCTGAATCCGCTTTAGTGAACATCCGGAGTGTTGTCAAATATTTGGTAGATGGTTGTGCAAATGATATATACAAAGTTAGAGCGTTTTTCAGGTGGATCGCCGATAGCATAACGTAAGTTGGTTTCTTGCTATTGTTAAATATATATTATCTCACATTAAATGAAATTTCAAACTAGTTGTAATGTCTTGAAATCACATATCTAGGTAGCCAGTTACGGACCAGTCAGAGAACTTTTGTGACTCCCCGACTAAATACGTATAGTTGCAAATTTAGAAATATTAATAACTTAGTAATGTGGCTACAAGAAATGAGTATAACAGCTTAACACTACTCCTTTCAGTATTTCGACAAAACTACTCCTTTCAGAATAAGAGAGTTAAGTACAAATCTAAATATATAAATGCAGCAAAGTATTATCTTTTAACCGAATGTATAATGAAAAGCATTTGAAGCATATTTTATTAATTGCACTAATACCGCAAATTAACCGTTTACGCCAAATACAAGTATTGAAAAATAATATGTGGAAGAGATTATTAAAAAGTAAAAAAACTGTTTTGAAATAATTAAATTTTCCAGTTTTTGAGGCACTTGATTAAAGATGGTGTGTTAATAGAGGCAAAACATGCGACACCGTAGTCTGCCTAATGAAAGGAATTCTATCATTTTGATTTTCTAGGGAAAATTGACTCGTGTCTACGTTATACAAAAGGAAAATCATGAAACCGTGCAGGCAACCCATTTATTAGGATGTGACCCAGTTTTGCAATACCAGTATTCACTGGGCCTCAGGTAAGGCCATGAATGAAGATCTTCTCCCGCAAGACTGGCAGTTATTGGACTATGGCGAAGTAAACAAAGGCTAATATGTATAAGGAGAGGGAGGTCTTCGTAAAGGACGTCCATAAGAGAACGAACGGTAAAGTCGCTGAACACTGGTAGTTCCACTTGGCTTAGATTCAGAGCAAACAGACTGGTTGCATCGGCGTTTTGACTGTTTTTTACCATCTGTAACGTGGATGAGCAAGTTTCCCTTAAAATGTCCTCCATGAAGGCATTCCTTACCTTAGGCAGATAGTCTTCGCGTGCTTTGCCATGACCAAATATACCAAAGTCTTCGTAGAAAACTTTATAAGGGAAACTGAATCGTAACACATAGTAAAACCACGAAAACCAAACATGCTGCTAGACTGTTCGCCTCGGATCGAACCTGGCTTGAACTCTCAATACTCAGCGGTGTTAACCATTCGGCTACTGACGGGGCTTTGGCAAGACTGCTAACAACTGTCAACATTAGCAATTTTTCAGTTCATAGTTTATTAGCGCTGTATGAGCGTAACGTAAAGTGACTTGAAAAGCTGAAAGACTAGATTGTAGGGTTCCTCACTCTTTTTTGGCTAAAGTACATGTCGAGGAACCTAGTAAACTGTTAAAGCGACTTATAGCTAAGTTCAAATAACTAAAGACGTAGACTCAAGAAGGGTTAACTACCCTTTATTTCACAAAATAAGATGAACAGTTGGCCTCTTTCTTGGGCTTTCAACAAAGCCTCCATTTGGGGTTAAACTTAGAATTAAAAATAAGAGCTAAATTAGAACTAACTAAGAGACTTAGCCCAAACTAACACCAATATCTAATGTAGTTTCCCCTTAATTTAAGCTAGCCTGCGAATATCAAAAGCCACGTTATAAACGGCCGAGCGTAACAGCTTCAAGAGAGATTTAGACCGAAGACAAACACACGTTACTCAGGAATTCTAACTCTCCCTCTCACGAAGTAAGTTGAGCCTTCCTTAAATACTCCCTCGTTTGCATCTCGTTTGCATCAACGCGATTTTAAGAACTCATTGTGGTAGGGAGTTGTAAGTGGAAACAAGAATTGATAGGAGAGCACTTTAAGATGAAAATAACTGTTATAAAATTAAAACATACCTTACAAGAATATTAAACGATTCTAACGTCAAAGAGATGGATTTATCTCTAAGCCAGTGTAAGCTACTAAATCACAGATTCAGTATTATCTTTGGAGGACTTTAGTTTCGTCACCTCTGAAAGTTATAGTTTGAGCTCTTAGAATAGCGCTTTAAATGTAGTCTTGAAGCAAAGCGAGTTTAGCTAACAAGGTAAGAGACAATGTATCTATCACTTCTTTAAAAAACTCATTTTTTAAATAAGGAAGTGATACGTACTCATTAAAAAACAAGTTTTTTAATGAGTTTTCTACAGATATATGTAGAATTTGACTTGAATCAGATTATGAGAGCACGGATATTTAATATTGATTTATTTAATAGAAAGAAATAAAAGTAAATAAGAAAAAGTAAATAAAGATGAAGTTAACGGTATGCAGGATTAACATAATTATGTAGTCCTTTTACACAAACATTTAAATAGTATGAGCATCTAGAGTGATCACAGTTAAAGGCATAACATCAAAAGCACAATCTAAATTCATAAACTCTTGAAGACGAATGAGCCGTCTGCTCACGTCCACCCTCCACTCTCGACCAGGTCTCAGCGCTGTCTGGGATGATTCTTATTGCGCTGGGCTGTGATGGTGACGTCAGCTGGTATTCTAATTCAGCATTGGATGTTGATGACTCCCACATATATTACAATTTGAATGAAGGCAAACTTCTAAAAGAACTTTAATTCTGCAATACTCTAAAGGTTTCCATAAAAATATAAAGGGAAATAAACTCCCAGAGTAAATATCCTTATTTTCTCAAATTCATAATCGATGGCATTTTTAACTGTTGAACGCTCCTTATAGTTACGGCAAACTTTACAAAACTTGAGACCTGGCGCAAAACCTGAGTGTTTTGAATATAATAGATGTCAAGAACACAAATTACATTTTATATCAAATGTTTCGTGAAAAATGTATCTTTCTTCAACGATTTCCATTCAAAATTATTCAAACAAGCATGTACATTTCACCAAGCAAACAAGCATGTACATTTCGTTTTCATAATTTCAGTTTAATATGGACAACAGTGGAGTAAATAGTTTTTAGAAGAAAGTTAAAAATATACGCCGGAGATTTTGCATTATTATATAACAATTAAGTAAATACAAATACTATTATTACTATTTCATATTAGTTTAATTAAAGTATAAAATACCGAGGACAATTTTTCCCTCCTTGAAAGTAAGAAACCAGTGTCTGTTTATCTCAAAATGCATATAGTTTATCTATGAAACAAACATCCGTCATTACACAAAATTTCCTCACAACGTCCTGTTTTAGTAACATTCTGGGAGACACTGAGGATCTCGACTCTCAGATGTCTCGAGGGCATTGTAATCTAGCATCCTGGAAATGCCTTTTTAAAAGCGCTATGTCTTGAGATATACAAAACTGTTGATTTTGAGATATCTAGAGGATTTCATCATTTAACTTTTTGAGGATATTCGTACTATATTTTCCTGTGGACTTTCCGTCGTTAAACACAGGAGTAATTTTGATTTCTTGAATTGACTCGAAGCTGCCCTGATATGTACTAAAATGCGACATTAAATACTCGGGATGATGTGTAACGAGAAAATTCCTCGATTCCCTGATGATTTGGCACGTAGGACTTTAAATTCTCACAAAACCCCGTACTTGTGGACTTTGCGAAGATGTCCTAGGGATCTACTGGAACTGGTCATTAAGCACTTGGAAGGCTGCGTTTGGAGGATATTCTAGGATGTCCACGTTTATCTGATTCAGAATATCCGGAGAAGAATTTCGTTTGAAGAATCATTCTAATGTTTTGTTTTATAAAGCAGGTATTATTTATACTTCAGTTAGAGAATCATCTGTTGATTCTTTTGATTAATGTATTTTATACAACCAGATGTTTTGTAGGACTTCTTTAATAATTTCAGAATTTTCCAGAAAGAAATTTTGCTTTCTATTATCATATTTGTATCCCTTTGTAAACAATAAAATTATTAATGACAAAATTTTAACTTGCTCTTTCAGGATTATTCTCTAACAAAGTTATAAAAATTGTGTTAATAGTAACAATATTTGATTTGCTAGTGTTCATTATAGCATTGTAACAGATACACGTACTCCAAATCAATCTTCGTGAACTTTTTGCTAAACGTACCAAGAATGTTTTTTCTAGAATTCTTGCGATTGGTTACACAGGAGTATCACAAAAGCAAGTATTTAATGCACTCATTATCTGTTTTAGAACTGTCACATATAAACGTGATTTAGATCATACATATCGGCAAGATTCAGAAGATTTTAATCACGTTTGCGAAATGCTTGTTTTGAATATTATCTTAATTTTAGTTGGGAAGTTCCTCAACCAGTTCACCATTCCATATTGCATTCACTGAGCATCAAACCTACACAGTGATGAATACTCCACTTTCGATGTAATGCTTGATACGCCGTTGCTTTAAATACCTGATAACAATCGCATGTGCTAGTACCTATAATTGTTCTTTCTGTCAAAGAGATGCTTCCTGTCAGGTACAATACCATGTATACAGTTAAACGACATCATTGTTCTTTAAAGTAGACAGATACTTGCGGTATGTAATAAATTGTATAATAAGGCTGAGATGAATAAAAATATCACTCTTTAAGGAGAACGATGCTTTCTCTGACCTGCAGTACGATGTATAATAAGCTTTCTAAAAATGTCAATTTCCATAGGTACGACTGGAGGTATATGGACATCAAACTGTCAGCAGAGGAGGTCTTTCAAAGACGGGAAGGAGTATGTAAAGATTACTGCAAGCTGTTTTCGGAAATGTGCAGGTATTGTTAATCTTTATATTATCATATAACTGGGTTTCTGAAAATGTGAGCTGAAGCCACCTGGGGGCGGAGGGCGTAGTGAAAATTTTAAAAGAACTATTTGCTTACTGTTTAAGTAAATTGTATATACACCATGCAGTTATAAATTTGTTTATAACGTACGGTTAGTTGTCAAGTTATATTCATTTATGTTTACTTCAATATTAAATTGTTTTTTTCTATTAATCCACTTTATTCTTTTTCCCTTTCACAGCAATTTCATGCATGTGGGCGGCATAAAATCTTGCAAAACTCTGATTTTCAACATTACTTGAAAGTGCGTTAGAAATTTATGTCTATTTTTGATTTTAATGTAGGTTGGCAGGTATTCGTGTCAAAACTTTGAATGGATTCGCAAAGGGTTATGATTATCGCCCAGGTCACCAATTTGTTCCTGGAGAAGACGTGACCCATGCTTGGAATGCCGTGTTCATATTTGGAGCTTGGAGATTCATTGATACAACTTGGGGGACAGGTAACTGGATTTTATACTTTCGATAATCTTGCAGGTTACTGCAGACTGTTGTATATTTTCACTGAGTCAATTTAAAAAGACTTCCGTTTATCCTAAAATATCAAATCAAATTTTTCCATGTTTAGGACCCGTATAATTATTATTAACGCTAGAAACCTCGGCGATAGCGAACACTAGCTGTACGACTGACGGGCTCAAATTTGAATAGCTGATATAACATGGACGATAAATTTAATATACTATCTTTATGGAATGGAAGCCTATAAAATCCGTCTGCTGGGAAATTCCTTACTACACACACACAACAACAAAAAAAAGCGTATTCATTTTGATTAATTTCTGGATCTGATTGGCTTGGCTTTTAAAACAGGCGGAGTCTATAATTTCTACCATCGTCATCTGGAAAAACACAAACGAAAACCTTAGTGCAGAAATATGCCCGAGTTTTAACACGTAAAGGTGCAATTTATTGGTGTACTTGACATTTTACTGCATTTCGAAAATTATTAAAAAAGTCATAAACACATGATAAAAGGTTCGGTACTTCGGTGCATTATGGTGAACTTGCATGACCTCCCTCTGGGTTGCTTTGAATCCCTATTTTGTTGCGAAGATTAAAGTAGGATGTCCACAAGTAGGGAGAAAGTTTATAAATAAACGGTAAACGGTATCATAAACTGGAGTAAAATTTATAGGCAAATACCGTGAGTAATATCCAAACTCTGAGATTTTCAGCTATAATGTGGTATACGTAATTAACTGGAATTTTTTCCTTTTTGTAAATTTAGGAGGACAACTAGGACAGGCTTCGAGAACCACGGTTGCTGAATAGTAGGAATGCTGATTTGATGTATTTCAAATCTGAAATGACCTGTGCAATCGAGCCTTTAGAAAAAGTAAAATTTATTGAGTACTACGTTTAGAATAAGTCCATAAGTACAGAAAGATTTTTTTCCTATATACAGGCTTTTCATGAACCATGAGAATTTTTCCATATATTCCGGTATTACGAATCTTTGAAGGAACAGAAAGGCGGTGAAAAGCAAAGGCTTTAATTTTAATTGGAAGTAATGCAGCATGATAAAATCTTCTACCTCAGATTGTGTTGATATTATTGTATAAACATTTGTATTAAAGTTATAACTCTGCTACTAAATTCGTCTTGCAAAACAGCCTACCTAGGTACCTCACGCTGAACTTCTGTCTTCAGACAAGCCAGCCAGTTTTAGACACAGCAACAATAAAACTAAATAACAATTTATCTAACCAGTGCTTATTAATACCAGTTAAAATGAAAATATACATAAAAAAATTAGTCTATAACTTTTCGAAGATTAATTATAAAATTTAAGGGAATTTGCATTGCTGAAAATAACAATTTACGAAATTAAGTTTCATTCAAACGTCCACATCTGGTTGTCTTCCTTCCAACTAAGCGCTTAAAGTATTTACTTTAAGCAGCTCACAACAGTAAGAATCAATAATACGGTCTCCGAGAAATACCATTAGCGCAGACAGCACGCGGCCTGTATTGTGGATAAGCACAAATGTCTGTTACCTTATCTAGAGTTTCGAATTTTTTTAGTGCTTTAAGTGTATAATCATCTGGTATGAGTGAGTATGTGAGATGTAATCTAAGTTAAGTTAGTACAGTTTTTAAGTATAACTATTAGAAAAACTTTAAAATAGTTATCGCACTGTTATTAAGTAGTAATCAATTCATCAGAATAGGCCTTTTTCGTCGCCTTTTTCTCTCCGCTGTGTTACATAAATATAGTCTTTGGTACTTAATGGTATTAGCGCAACCACGCTGGCGAATTTGGCGACTGGTTGCGATAATACGTAAGTACCTAGTCATTATTTTCCGTAAAGTAAATATGGTTTGCATAAAATTACCTACCCCTTCCTTCATTCATTTCCAGACTCGTTTGATCGAGTTGAAAGGTGTGCTGCTATTTCGACTTATCTGTTTTCCTTAACTGCGAACAGGCTTATGAATAAGCAGGAATGAAACAGATAGTGATCGCATACATTGGACACATCACCTAATTTTGATCAAAAGCAGCTTAGGCCGAGTAGGGCATCTTCTCGCACTTTATTCGGATGGAACGGACTTTAAGCCTCCCCACTCTTCACCAGCGAGCATTCATATGTTAAGCTAAATCAGAAATTCCCAACCTTTTTCTTGTATTGACGCCTTCTAAATAATGGTTTTCCTCATCGACCCCTTAACATTTTTCTCTACTTTATGCACATAAATAACTTAAGAATAATAAATAGATTAAGAACAGGAACAAAAGTTTAAAAAAAAATAGTTTATTATATTTATCTTTAATTATTTTTTATTACTCTTATTTTTAATTTTACAAATATAAGCAATTTTTTAGAAATAAAATCAGATTCTAATTGCACAAAACTTCGATTTTAATGAATGTGATGAAAGCATTTGATGTAGTCATTCGGTTTTCTTAACAATTGACATAAAATTGCTTAATTTAATGTTCAAATCACCTCACTCAAAAATATTCAACCTGTTTCTTATTTTCTATTCTAGTTTCGCGTTCTTCATATTTTTTAATGTGTTTTCTTGTTTATTGCATTTTACTTTTTCACATTGAACTTACTGGACAAAACATTTATATATTTCAAAAATATGTTAAATAATTTTAGAGCATTTTCCCCTTATATTTATTTTACATTCTTCCTTACTCCATCATAAAGCTTTTTAACGTTAAACAGTTAATTTTCAATTTTATTAATAAATATTTTTGTTATCAATGAGATCTTGATTATGGCAATCAATTTCCGCTGCATATTTAAATTTATTTATTCATATTTTTTATATTGCCTTCTTTAAAACGACCTCGGAGAGGGTCAATACAGACACCGTTGTGAAGCTCTGTATTAGATTCAAACCCTATCTTTTGACGTAAGTGTAATATGAAAGGTACACGTGAATCCTTTTCACTTAGTCAAAGGATAACCCATATGCTTGTTTTATCCTTCCTTGCAACCTGCTAGGTTTGATAGAGCTTGATACCGGCAAAAAAAGGTGCCTTTACACTTGCTAATTCCTTGGCACTCACGTTTTTAGATATTTAGGACAAACAGCTGTGATACGGAGAGTGTTTAATGGTTACTATATTGTCACTGTACAAACTGCAATGAGCCATATCTGAGAGCACCATCCACGGTTGCAGGCAATTTTAGTCATCTGCAGAGGTCTTGGAGAAAGATGACCGTCCGAGATGTCGCTTTCGGATTTACATAATGTATTTGTCCTGCTGGAGAATGTTAATACTGAAGGTAGGAGAGCGGTACATGGATGTATTAAAACCAACTAAGTTAATAAAATTGGGCATTAATAATATAGTCAACTCCCAATTTATCCAAGGACTAGGTCCACGTTCAAAATCCCGGTTAATACGAGAGCAGTTAAACGAACGCAGGAAAAAGGAATAACCCATTACCAGTTTTACAGTCTTAATTGTTGACTTCCATTTTTAAGCAAATTAATGTGGAGAAAAAATTCATTTGGCTATGTCCGTTAAGTCAGTATTCAAGTCAATAGAACTTAAAAATAAATAATGGAAGGTTAAACATCATTATAAAAGAAGAAAATAAGTGAGAATTGGAGCTGAAAAACAATATTGACAAGGAAATGAGAACAATATCATCGAGTTCAAACTGTCGTAAAAAGAACTTTTTGTTTTTCTGCAGGCTTCCTTTACTGTTGCTGTTATTCCACACATTTTCTTTTTATATTTTCCCTATATTCTTTTGTTATACGCTAATGGTTTGGGAGAGTATTTTTTCATCGTTCCGTAATAAATTTCATTTTTAGACAGGTTCTGATTAATCTAGAGATGTTTTAATTCTGGAAACATTCAAGCGTATCCAGAATGCACACTTAACGAGAACATACAAATACGTTTCGGAGAATAGTAGTTATAATAATCTTGATTGGAAGTGTTGTTAATTGTTATCTATTATAAAGCATTAATGTCGTGCTTTTTAAAATGTGCTGGATGAAAATAATAAAGCAATCAAATCAGGTAAAATATTAACCTCATGAAATAATTAATTAACTTATAAGGTATTTCTCCCGTCTTCTTAGCATGCTTTCGCGGTGTAGTGGTCAGCACGCTGGGCGCGTATTCGAGAGGTTCGTGGTTCGAGTCCCGGCAAGGGCATTGGTCATTTTTCATCTCTCCTGCTTCAAAATAACCTAATGACTCTACAAACTATTTCATAAATTTCTCAAATCCATTCACAAAGGATGGAATTTCTTCAGTTCAAATTATCAAGTTTATAAAACCACAATAAATCGATTAGTTGCAAGAATATTTTTAAAACGCATGTGGCCTTCCCCGTTTTCGTATAATTTTCGTGTGAATTAACATATGTGCTTTCATGTTATTATTATTTTGTATACGACGCTTTATCAACGACAAAAATTAACTTTATTATTGTTTGCACATGTTTAATAAAACATAACTAATGTCTCTAGATTTATTCTCACCAACTCAACAGGCCAGTTACATAAGGTTCTTATTATGTGCGATATAAATATTACTTGAAAAAGTTCTCGCTAAAAATATTCTTCCCCAATAAACAGGAGGTATGTGATTTTGCATAATTAATCTAATTTAGTTTTTCGAATAATCATTTTTCGACTACGAATAAGAGAAATTGCTTGGAACAATAAGATCTCTTCGCTTACTATTTTTAAAATGAGTTCTCGAGTAAACTTTGTTATTCTAATATTTTCTTAATGTAAAACGTGGAACAAGGTTTCTATTATGCCCACCAGTAGTGGCTGAGTAAACATGACCGCTAAGTAAGGTTTGGATCCTGGAAAATCAGCAAACTGTGTTCTTGTCTTCGTGATTTTCGCTATGTGTAACGTAAAGGAACTCAAAAGGAACTCATTTGCCTTCTTCGACAAAGATATAACATTTAATGTATAATGTGATTGTGTCACCAGGTTCCGTCCATAG